GTCCATCAGTTAACATCTGGAGAAGACAAAAGCTGAAACACATCCAGCATTAAGACGCTTTAAATCACGAGTCTATAATCCATAATAACTCTTCCTCCAGTGAAAAAGTGTTCTGGTGTGAATCAGGAGAGAAATCTGCACAGATCAAGCAGCGTTTAAACAGCTCTAAACACATATGTGGCTGGATTTTGATGCGAGAGACAACAGCAGATGCACTTTTTCACTGGAGGAAGCGTTATTGTGGATTATGGACTATGTATTTTAGTTAAAAACGTCTTAATGTTGGATGTGTTTCAGCTTTTGTCTTCTCCAGATGTTAACTGATGGACTGGAGTGCTGTGGATTATTGTGATGTTTTTATCAGCTGTTTGGACTCTCATTCTGACGGCACCCATTCACTGCAGAGCATCCGTTGCTGAGACACTGATGCAGTGCTACATTTCTCCAAACCTGATGAAGATTTAATCTGGGATGGCCTGAGCGTGAGCACATTTTCAGCACATTAATGTTCATTTTTCGCTGAACTATCCCTTTACGTAAACCGAAGCGAGTGTGAGTTTTTTTGAACTCACCATGTTTAACCTGCTTCAGTGTGGATGCAACTTGATAGCTGAAGACAGACTCGCACAAAAATCGATCAGATCCATCTGTGGGGGGAAAAAAAGGCAAATGTAGTACTATGCATGCAGCAGATCAGCACTGGAAGATATAACAGGCTTTTACGGCAGGCAGTCTGTGCCATTTCTGAGCTGCAGAGGGACAAAATCGGTATTCAGGAATGCAAAACGGAGATGTAACCGGCGCACACACCCTCCATCATCTCTCCGGCTCCTTTGGGGTAAGTGTAGAGCACTTTCCTCGGCGGGATGAGCTCGGAAGCACTGAAGCCGGATCCGGTCACCGAGCTGCCGCTGACTCCTCCAGCCGAGGACGAGGACGAAGATGCTGCCATTCACAACCTACAGATCTCACAAACACTACATTACAAACACCAGAGCATGCCAGAAAACACAGGTCAGCTGATGCACAGAGAGAGCTCGTGAGACAAACACTATCACAGACTGATCAATTAAATCTGTAAAAATCGAATTGATCAGAAAAATCAAATTAGCAGCATGAACCCTATATTCTGCATCATTTGAGAGTATTATGCACAAAGTGATCAGCTGTAAACCTGGTGTTTGTTCTGTTGACTAAAAAGCTACAGATATTTACAAACACGTGTTTACAAACATTTTTGCATTTGGTGAAAAATGTAAACAACACTTTTGCGCTTTGCATAAAAAGACTATAGAGAGACACAACACACACAGAACAATCACAACATTTCTTTATATTAATTCTGCTTAACTTTGACATTTTAATTAAAAACATAACAAACAATGGTATTGACAATCAGCACTCACGAATGCAACACCCGTAACAGAGTTATTAACACCATTCCACACTTCATTAGCGTTTCATGAGCTATATATATATATAAGAATTAATCATAATAAAGTGAAATATGTGTAATATTTGTAATTAACCTGCGTCACCCGAAGCGCCGCTTCTGCTTCCTCTGTGCGTCTGTTTACGTCAGTTTGACGCTGATCGGACGTCGCAGCGCCACCTGACGTCACGGCGTAAAGTGACGTCACGTTATTTATTTTTATTTATGATCGTTTAATTTACTAAGTTATTGGACATTATTAATGTATATTAATTTGTTATGATTTTTCACATTTTAATTAAAAATATGTACTAAATACGAAATAGTAAATGCTAATGGAGACGCATCTTGACAATTAAAAGTTAAAAGTGCGATATAATTCCCTTTTCTATTATTTAAATGCTTATTTGACGTCACGTTATTTATTTTGATTTATGATCGTTTAATTTACTAAGTTATTGGACATTATTAATGTATATTAATTTGTTATGATTTTTCACATTTTAATTAAAAATATGTACTAAATACGAAATAGTAAATGCTAATGGAGACGTATCTTGACAATTAAAAGTTTAAAAATTCCCTTTTCTATTATTTAAATGCTTATTATATATTTAAATAAATACGAAATAGTAAATGCTAATGGAGACGCATCTTGAAGTTAAAAAGTTAAAAGTGCGATATAATTCCCTTTTCTATTATTTAAATGCTTATTATATATTTAAATATTTTATATATATATATATATATATATATGAAAACTTAAATATTTTTAAACATAATATATGTTAAGGATTGCATTATTATTATTATTATTATTTTGATCATATTCTCTCAGCAGAGGACTTTTAAGCGAGACGCTGAAAGCGGAAGCGGAAGTCTTCCGTCCACAGTTCCGTGTAAACACAGCAGCGGCGCAAAGGTAGAAAGATTAATTATTTAATAATTAATATTCACGCGTTCTTGCGAGTATATGTTCTGTGTTGTTGTTTTCTCGCGGGTTCTGAGTTGCTTCATGGGGTGTATTCGTGTTGTAGCGAAGTTCAGCATATAAATATAAAATATGTATTTATTTATAAGACATTTAAACATCTTTCTGCTGATTTTGCAGTATTTTCAGCAGATGTCATGAGCAGACTGTCTTCTTGTATCTCGACAGTTAAAATAAATGGAGAATTTGTTTTTGTTTTTTCTTTATTTATAGATTTTTCCCCTGTTTTCTGTAATCTGCTGGTCTTGTTTAATTAATATGAAATGTCAGAATTTAAATACTGTTAAGCTGTAGTTTATTTAGTTAATTTATAAATATTTTTTATACATAAGAAGTCTCTTCTGCTCATCAAGGCTGTATTTATTTAATCAAAAATACAGAAAAAATACAGTAAAATTTTAAAATATTATTGCAATTTAAATGAACAGTTTTCTATTTTAATATACTTCAAAATATAATTTATTTCTGTAGCAGAGGACTTTTAAGCGAGACGCTGAAAGCGGAAGCGGAAGTCTTCCGTCCACAGTTCCGTGTAAACACAGCAGCGGCGCAAAGGTAGAAAGATTAATTATTTAATAATTAATATTCACGCGTTCTTGCGAGTATATGTTCTGTGTTGTTGTTTTCTCGCGGGTTCTGAGTTGCTTCATGGGGTGTATTCGTGTTGTAGCGAAGTTCAGCATATAAATATAAAATATGTATTTATTTATAAGACATTTAAACATCTTTCTGCTGATTTTGCAGTATTTTCAGCAGATGTCATGAGCAGACTGTCTTCTTGTATCTCGACAGTTAAAATAAATGGAGAATTTGTTTTTGTTTTTTCTTTATTTATAGATTTTTCCCCTGTTTTCTGTAATCTGCTGGTCTTGTTTAATTAATATGAAATGTCAGAATTTAAATACTGTTAAGCAACACTCTGCTGCAGGGGTGATGTACAGTCAATGATAAAGCGGAGAGTTCCGGTGCTTGGCTCTGATTGGCTGAGCCGCGTTCGAAGCTGTTGTAAATGACGCTACAAAGTAACACACACCTTTGTTTACGTTTGTGTGTTGCTCGGCAACCACTTTGTAGCAACCACAACTGTTTCTGAGGAGCTACATTGTTTGGTGGAAGAATACTGTGTTTATTAATATCTTTACACTTTATTTGCTCTGCTTTATTTTGTGAAACCTTACTACGTATATAACCGTTTTATAAAAGCGGTAATCCCCGTGAAGCCGTGGTTTACACTGAATTTATAACAGCTAAGGGGTTTTAGGCACTACGCTTCCTTTAGCTGTTATAACTTCACTGTAAACCACGGCTTCACGGGGATTATTGCTTTAATAACTTGTTTCAGGTCAGAATTGGTAGGTTATGTCCAGCAGTTCATACTTTCGGTATCAGAATGAGGTGTTTATAACACAGTTCTCACTTCAAGTTTATATTTCGCATTTTGAGTTAAAGGGATAGTTCCCCCTAAAATGAAAAGTTGATGTTTATCTGCTTACCCGCAGGGCATCCGAGATGTAGGTGACTTTGTTTCTTCAGTAGAACACATTTGATGATTTTTAACTTTAACCGTTGCAGTCTATCAGTCGTATAATGCATGGCAATGGTAACAAAATCTATGAGAGTAAAAAAAACATGCACAGACAAATCCAAATTAAACCCTGCGGCTCGTGACGACACATTGATGTCCTAAGACACGAAACGATCGGTTTGTGCCAGAAACCAAACAGTATTTATATCATTTTTTACCTCTAATACACCACTATGTCCAGCTGTCTTTGGGCGCGCGCACGGCATCCGGTGCGTGAGGTGTGTAGCGCTCTGGCGTAGTTTACGTTAATGTGTGTGTTGATATCTAGCCGAAGAGCAATCAACCATAACCTCAGGCGAGCAGGCTCAGAAGTTGGGAATACGTGGAAAGTCACCACTCCCGAATGAGTTCACGCGAGAGAACGTAATCTTTTAGTTTCAAGTCGGTTTGAACAATCCGAATAAGCGCAAGCAAGTACCATTTTGATTAGCCGTCATACCTACAATTTTTGTGCACTGTGTAACCAATGAGTGATGTATACGCGTGAGAGATCACTTCCGGCGCTTGCGTAAACTACACCAGAGCGTGTACACACCTCACACACAGGATGCCATGCGCGCGCTCAAGGAAGTTGGACAGTGTTGTATTAGAGGTAAAAAAATTATATAAATACTGTTTGGTTTCTCGCACAAACCGATCGTTTCGTGTCTTAGGACATCAATGTGTCGTCACGAGCCGCAGGGTTTAATTTGGATTTGTCTGTGCATGTTTTTTTTACTCTCATAGATTTTGTTACCATTGCCATGCATTATATGACTGACAGACTGCAACAGCTGGAGTTACAAATCATCAAATGTGTTCTACTGAAGAAACAAAGTCACCTACATCTCAGATGCCCCGGGGGTAAGCAGATAAACATCACATTTTCATTTTTGGGTGAACTATCCCTTTAACATCTCACAATTCTGACTTTATTTCAAGCCATTCTGAAATTATATCTCACAATACTGAGTTACATCAAGCAATTCTGACTTTTTTTGAGAGTTTGCAACACAGAATTATGACTATTTCTTGTATCTTTGAGTTAACATAACATATAGTTCTGACTTTACTTCTCACAGTTCTGAGTTTATATCCTGAAGTTTGAGTTAACATCTTGCGATTCAGATTTTTTGGACTTTCACGTTTTCTCGGTATTGCACGTTCACACAATTCTGACTTTATTTCTTGCAATTCCAAGTTTATATTTTGCAATTTTGTATCATATGATCGTTCGGACTTTCTCAGAATTGTGTTCATAACACACAATTCTCACTTTTTTGCAAGTTTAGGCTATATTTTGAGTTAATTTCTCACAATTCAGAGACTTTTTTCTCGCTTTTTTTCTCTACATTATTTGAGTAAACATCTCACTTTTTTTCTCAGAATTGCAAGTTTATGCCTTCATGTTTATAGCGCACGATTCTGACTCTTTCTAGCAATTTTGAGTGTATATCCCACAATTTTGCATTAAAATCTCGCAATTCAGAGTTTCTGAAGTCACTATTCTGATTTTTTTTTTTACCTGAAAATTGCAAGTATACATCCTAATTATTACGTCTGTATCACAAAATGCATATTTCCTTCAAGAAATGTGTTGGTACGTTCCATTTCTCATTCATATTAATGCACAAAATGACATCTTGCATTCACGGAGAAATAAAGTCAGTATTGTAAATAGTAAATACATTATATTTTATATTAGATTTATGTATATTTTTTTCATTCTAAGGCAGAAGCTGGCTCCCATACAGACTGACTGCAGCTTTTTCAGATGCTTCTTGGTCATTTTCAGTTCTGAGCTCAGCAGTGTTCTCGTGTTTTCAGGTATATTATCGGGAAGAAGGGAGAGACTCGTAAACGACTGGAATCAGAGACTAAAACTTCCATCAGCATCCCAAAACAAGGCGTGGAAGGACAGATCGGTAAGATACGGTGATTTGAGCAAACCCCTCAGCCCTGAACTATTAATTTAGTTCATCACACAGCATTTGTGCAGACAGAAATCATATCTCAAACTCCCAGGGAATGCATTAAAGCATCTGCCAAATGCATAAACTCTAACAACTCATAATGCCTTAGCATTACCAGAGAAACTTGTATAGAATGGTGTCTGTGAGTTTTGCATGCTCAAACCCACATTATCTTGAGATATAAGTCATCTAGTTTGTTGCTCGTGTGTCTGCACACACTCAGAAGCAGAAGGTTGGCATGTTTCGGTTGGCGTTAAATGAATGTGCATGATGCCTTGTGCAACTAAAAGTGTTCCTGTATAAGCATAAAGGTGCTTTAGGGGTCAGAATGTTCTAGTAGCAGGATGTTCTGGCAGCAGCGTGTTCTTGTGTGCAGTGGTGAGGACTGTATGTTCTTCCTGTGGTTTTACAGAAGTGTGTGTGTGTGTGTGTGTGTGTGTGTGGGACGCTCAGTGATCACAGGTGCACACAGAGCAGCCGTCGCCTCAGCTGTAACCCGCGTTGAGGTTTTGATCGACAGCTTTCGGAGGAAGCAGCCGTTCACACACTTCCTGTCGTTTGCACTAAATCATCCTCAGGTGCAGCAGGGCTTCCTGCGCTTTCGAGAGCAGGTGCTGGAGCTCTGCGGACAGGTGAGAACACAATCAGAGCTGACCGCAGTTACTTTATTAACATTGCAAGAATTCAATATAGTATTATGATAGTAGGTAACACATACATTTAGTATAATAATATAAGGTTAATGTAATATAAGGTTTGTTATTATATGATATATTATAATAATATAATATAATAAGGTAACAGCACCCTTTATTGTTCCTGGTCTTATTGTTGCAAGTAGTTAAGACATAAATGTAATATAATATTAATATTGATTTATTTTATTGTTTTAGGTTAGGTTAAGATAGTTTAATATGATATAATAAAGTAAAGCTACAGCGGAATTCATTCTATTTACTTCCTGGACACATTGTTGCCAGTAGATAATGCATAAATTCAATTTAATGTTAATTTAAAGATTTCATTTAATTAAATATTATTTTATTTTATTAATTGTATTATATTATATTTTCTTTTCTTTTAGTAAGGTTAATGTAAAATATAGCTTATTAATTATATTATCTTATTGTCTTATTGTTGCCTGTAGTTAATGCATAAACTCAATTTAATGTTAATTTAAACATTTAATTTAAATTTGTGCAGACAGAAATCATATCTCAAACTCCCAGGGAATGCATTAAAGCATCTGCCAAATGCATAAACTCTAACAACTCATAATGCCTTAGCATTACCAGAGAAACTTGTATAGAATGGTGTCTGTGAGTTTTGCATGCTCAAACCCACATTATCTTGAGATATAAGTCATCTAGTTTGTTGCTCGTGTGTCTGCACACACTCAGAAGCAGAAGGTTGGCATGTTTCGGTTGGCGTTAAATGAATGTGCATGATGCCTTGTGCAACTAAAAGTGTTCCTGTATAAGCATAAAGGTGCTTTAGGGGTCAGAATGTTCTAGTAGCAGGATGTTCTGGCAGCAGCGTGTTCTTGTGTGCAGTGGTGAGGACTGTATGTTCTTCCTGTGGTTTTACAGAAGTGTGTGTGTGTGTGTGTGTGTGTGTGTGGGACGCTCAGTGATCACAGGTGCACACAGAGCAGCCGTCGCCTCAGCTGTAACCCGCGTTGAGGTTTTGATCGACAGCTTTCGGAGGAAGCAGCCGTTCACACACTTCCTGTCGTTTGCACTAAATCATCCTCAGGTGCAGCAGGGCTTCCTGCGCTTTCGAGAGCAGGTGCTGGAGCTCTGCGGACAGGTGAGAACACAATCAGAGCTGACCGCAGTTACTTTATTAACATTGCAAGAATTCAATATAGTATTATGATAGTAGGTAACACATACATTTAGTATAATAATATAAGGTTAATGTAATATAAGGTTTGTTATTATATGATATATTATAATAATATAATATAATAAGGTAACAGCACCCTTTATTGTTCCTGGTCTTATTGTTGCAAGTAGTTAAGACATAAATGTAATATAATATTAATATTGATTTATTTTATTGTTTTAGGTTAGGTTAAGATAGTTTAATATGATATAATAAAATAAAGCTACAGCGGAATTCATTCTATTTACTTCCTGGACACATTGTTGCCAGTAGATAATGCATAAATTCAATTTAATGTTAATTTAAAGATTTCATTTAATTAAATATTATTTTATTTTATTAATTGTATTATATTATATTTTCTTTTCTTTTAGTAAGGTTAATGTAAAATATAGCTTATTAATTATATTATCTTATTGTCTTATTGTTGCCTGTAGTTAATGCATAAACTCAATTTAATGTTAATTTAAACATTTAATTTTATATTTAATTTTATATTTAATTTTATTTTACTTCTTGGACACATTGTTGCCAGTAGTTAATGCATAAACTCAATTTAATGTTAATTTAAAGATTTAATTTAATTTAATTCAATATAATTTTATTTTATTAATTGTATTATTATATTTTATTTTGTTTTATTAAGGTTAATGTAAAATATAGCTTATTAATTATATTATATTATCTTATTGTCTTATTGTTGCCAGTAGTTAATGAAAGAATTTAATATAATATTAATAAAAACATTTAATCAGGTTAATATATTATATTATATTATATTAAAAGGTTAATGTAATTTACTGTAATGTCATTTAAAAATAATATAATGTGATAAGGTCACAGCAAAATTAAAAATTGTCTTAATTCTTGTTATTGTGAGTGAGTTATAGTAGTGATAAAAAGGCATCTATGAAATGTTTGCTAGATTTAATGTGTGTTGTGCAGGACGCAGGCGTGGATGAGAGTATTTTCCAGAACCCAGCCAAACTGCATCTGACCATCGGCACGCTGGCCCTGCTGAACGAACAGGAAGTGACACGCGCGAGCGAGCTCCTGCAGCAGTGTCGGGACGCTATCAGGTCACTACTGCAGCCCGTAAAGCATCAGAGCAGACCGCAGCGATGCTCAGCAGAGTAAATGTGCTGCTTTGTCTCTGCAGAGATATAACTGAAGCAAAACCGCTTCCTGTGGAGGTCCGAGGAATTGAATATATGAATGATGACCCGTCGATGGTGGACGTTCTCTATGCCAAAGTCACGGTTCGAGATGGATCTGAGAAGTAAGATACAGTTCATTACCTGGTGAAGTCTCGTAGTTCACCCAGAAATGAAAATCATTTAATCACTCACAACATATGTCTTCAGATCACATGGAATATGATACTTTCACGTATGAACCAAAATCTGACATATTCATGTATTATAATGAGAAAAAGAATTGTATTATATATCAGTATATTATTGTACTGTTGTATTATTTATAGATTTTGTATTTCAAGTTTTCATTTTAATTTCTTTTTACTCATTTATGTGCATTGTCATGATCAAAATGCTTCTATTTAGCTTTAGTTTTATTTCTATTTTAGTGTTAGTAATTGTAGTACTTCGACTTAAGTGTAAGACAAACATGAGAAGTGATGGCTTGGCGACTAACTGAGATGAGATATGTTTAAATGCAAAAATGTAAATGGAATTAAAGCTGAATAGAAATATTTTAAAAAACTAATAATTATAAAAGCACGTGCAATTACTAATACTTAAACTAAAATTAAAATGATTAAAATAATTAAATGAAATAAATAAAATTGAAATATTAGATGAAAACGTAAAGCTAAAACAAGGAAAAGTTGCATATTTACATTTTATTTTAATTAACAAATTATTAATAATAATTTTAGTTTAAGTATTAGTAATTGTTATATGCTTTTGGCATTTAAAAAAATCTATCTTTTATTTTATTTTAGTTTTATTAATTTTTGTACTTAATCCTTTTTTTTCAGTTAATTGCCAAGGCAGAATTTATAATTTTTGTTGTACGATTAAGTTTTTCATCGAATATTTATATTTGTTTTAATTTACAGATTTAAAATAGATTTATTTTAATTAACAGGGTTGATTAAATTAGGTTTGTAAAATATTTAAAATTGATTAATTTTCAGTTTAACTTTTTTTTTTCTTCAACCTAAACTTATTTTCAGTTAAAGTTTATTTTATTTCAAGTAACAAATGTTATATATATATATATATATATATATATATATATACATACATACATACATACATACATACATGCATATTACTTGGTTTTAGTTAACTGTAATAAACCTTACTTTGTTTGTTTAGGAGAAAGAAAAATCCATTACTCTGATAGAAAAACAATGCAAGTCTATGAGATGAGCTCATTGCTCTCTCTGTGTGTGTGTGCGCGTGTTTTGTGTGTGTTTGAGTGTGTGTGTGTGTTTGAGTGTGTGCATGCGCGTGTGTCTGTGTTTGAGTGTGTGTAAAGTTTATTTTATTTCAAGTAACAAATGTTATATATATATATACATACATACATACATACATACATACATACATGCATGCATATTACTAGGTTTTAGTTAACTGTAATAAACCTTACTTTGTTTGTTTAGGAGAAAGAAAAATCCATTACTCTGATAGAAAAACAATGCAAGTCTATGAGATGAGCTCATTGCTCTCTCTGTGTGTGTGTGCGCGTGTTTTGTGTGTGTGTGTGTTTGAGTGTGTGCATGCGCGTGTGTCTGTGTTTGTGTGTGTTTGAGTGTGTGTTTGAGTGTGTGTGTGTGTGTGTGTGTGAGTGTGTGTGTGAGTGTGTGTTTGAGTGTGTGTGTGTGTGTGTGTGTGAGTGTGTGTGTGAGTGTGTGTTTGAGTGTGTGTGTGTGTGTGTGTGTGAGTGTGTGTGTGAGTGTGTGTTTGAGTGTGTGTGTGTGTGTGTGTGTGAGTGTGTGTGTGAGTGTGTGTTTGAGTGTGTGTGTGTGTGTGTGTGTGAGTGTGTGTGTGAGTGTGTGTTTGAGTGTGTGTGTGTGTGTGTGTGTGAGTGTGTGTGTGAGTGTGTGTTTGAGTGTGTGTGTGTGTGTGTGTGTGAGTGTGTGTGTGAGTGTGTGTTTGAGTGTGTGTGTGTGTGTGTGTGTGAGTGTGTGTGTGAGTGTGTGTTTGAGTGTGTGTGTGTGTGTGTGTGTGAGTGTGTGTGTGAGTGTGTGTTTGAGTGTGTGTGTGTGTGTGTGTGTGTTTGAGTGTGTGCGTGCGCGTGTGTGTGTGTTTGTGTGTGTGTGTGTGTGTGTGTGTGTGTATACAGACTCCAGCAGATCGCAGACAGGCTCGTGGAGTATTTTGCTGCAGCCGGTCTGATGGAGCGAGAGCGGGAGCGAGTGAAGATTCACGGCACCATCATGAACACACTGTTCCGGAAAGATCCGTCAGGTGAGACGGCCAGCAACAACAGCCCTCAGTCGCCATCACTGATCCCTGATCAGTTTCAAATAAGACCTCCGTTAATCCTGCTGTGAACACGTCACTCATAACAATCATGATCACAATTACTGAGTCAAGCAGATGCCGAACTAACCGAACAGACTGTCAGGAATGACATAAACAGACCGACAGCGTGTTTGTCAGGATGACTTTATGTGCTTTTATCATCTTTGTTAGATTTTTATAAATTGAGCATTAATTTTATTTAGCGGGAGCGAGTGAAGATTCACGGCACCATCATGAACACACTGTTCCGGAAAGATCCGTCAGGTGAGACGGCCAGCAACAACAGCCCTCAGTCGCCATCACGATCCCTGATCAGTTTCAAATAAGACCTCCGTTAATCCTGCTGTGAACACGTCACTCATAACAATCATGATCACAATTACTGAGTCAAGCAGATGCCAAACTAACCGAACAGACTGTCAGGAATGACATAAACAGACCGACAGCGTGTTTGTCAGGATGACTTTATGTGCTTTCATCATCTTTGTTAGATTTTTATAAATTGAGCATTAATTTTATTTCAGTTTTAGTGTAATTTTAGTACTTCAACTTAAATGTAAAACAAAAATTAGAAATGTTGCCTTGGCAACTAACTGAAATAAAATAAGTTGAAGTTCAAAAATTCCTAAAACTAAAATAAAATTAAAGCTAAATAGAAATAATTAAAAACAAATAGACAAAAGCACATAACAAAATTGGTAAAACTAAAACTATTAGAAATAATTTAATTAAATCTGAAATGTTAATTAAAAAATGTAAAACAAAAATTAGAAATGTTGCCTTGGCAACTAATTTAAATTAAAAAAAGTACAAAAATTACTAGAACTAAAACTGTAATAAAATTAAAGCTAAATATAAAAAACTAATAAAAATGACAAAAATACCTAACAAAATTAGTAAAATGAAAACTAATAAAATATTAATATTGCATAGAAAAATGTAAATATAAAATAAAATAAGAATATCTGATAGCGGTTTTACATTTATTTAACAAAAATTTATTTTAATAGTTTTAATTTTAAATACGAGTAATTTATGGTTATAATTTTTATTCATTTTTTAACATGCATCTGTTTGGCTTTATTTCACATTTAGTTTTAGTAATTTTTGTACTTCTGTAACTTGTTTAAACGTAAAGCTTAAACCTGCGGGACGGCTCGTCAGGAATGAGGTAAACAGCCCAGCAGCGTGTTTATCAGGAGCTTGTTTGTCAGAATGTTTTTCTTCGTCGTGAACGTCGTCTTCTCACGAACACAAAGCTCTCATTCAGCTGCTCTGTGTTTGTGTTCATAGCTGTTTGTCTGTCAACAGTTCTGACCGTGTTCATGCTGACATCAGCCAGTCACTGTGCTGTTTTCAGTTTAGTATCTGAGTAACGTTATTCAGACCACAACATGATCATCACATCTCATTACGTCTGAAATACAGACTCTAACCCGACCTGTGTTTCTCTCAGCGGAGGATAAAGGAGCTTCAGCGAGACCCAACGCTAAAGACCGAGAAGCTTTTAATGCCAAAAACATCTTACAGGTGAGAAATGTGATCAAAGTGCCAGTGAAGACATTTATAATGTTAGAAAATATTTCTATTTCAAATAAATGCTGTTCTTTTGAGCTTTCTGTTCATCTTGAATCCTGAAAAATAAAATGCATCACAGTTTCCACAAAAATATTGTGCAGCACAACTGTGTTCAACATTGATAATAATCAGAAATGTTTCTCGAGCAGCAGATCAGCATATTATACTGATTTCTGAAGATCATGTGACACTGAAGACTGGAGAAAACACAGCTTTGATCACAGAAATAAATTACAGTTTAACAGATATTCACATAGAAAACAGCTGTTTTACATTATAATAATATTTCACAATTTTACTGCATTTTATTATCAAATAAATGCAGTCTTTGTGAGCAGAAGAGACTAAAAAACATTGTAACCCCAAAGATTTGAAATTTTGCTGCAGCCGGTCTGATGGAGCGAGAGCGGGAGCGAGTGAAGATTCACGGCACCATCATGAACACACTGTTCCGGAAAGATCCGTCAGGTGAGACGGCCAGCAACAACAGCCCTCAGTCGCCATCACTGATCCCTGATCAGTTTCAAATAAGACCTCCGTTAATCCTGCTGTGAACACGTCACTCATAACAATCATGATCACAATTACTGAGTCAAGCAGATGCCAAACTAACCGAACAGACTGTCAGGAATGACATAAACAGACCGACAGCGTGTTTGTCAGGATGACTTTATGTGCTTTCATCATCTTTGTTAGATTTTTATAAATTGAGCATTAATTTTATTTCAGTTTTAGTACTTCAACTTAAATATAAAACAAAAATTTGAAATGTTGCCTTGGCAACTAACTGAAATAAAATAAGTTGAAGTTCAAAAATTCCTAAAACTAAAATAAAATTAAAGCTAAATAGAAATAATTAAAAACAAATAGACAAAAGCACATAACAAAATTGGTAAAACTAAAACTATTAGAAATAATTTAATTAAATCTGAAATGTTAATTAAAAAATGTAAAACAAAAATTAGAAATGTTGCCTTGGCAACTAATTTAAATTAAAAAAAGTACAAAAATTACTAGAACTAAAACTGTAATAAAATTAAAGCTAAATATAAAAAACTAATAAAAATGACAAAAATACCTAACAAAATTAGTAAAATGAAAACTAATAAAATATTAATATTGCATAGAAAAATGTAAATATAAAATAAAATAAGAATATCTGATAGCGGTTTTACATTTATTTAACAAAAATTTATTTTAATAGTTTTAATTTTAAATACGAGTAATTTATGGTTATAATTTTTATTCATTTTTTAACATGCATCTGTTTGGCTTTATTTCACATGCAGTTTTAGTAATTTTTGTACTTCTGTAACTTGTTTAAACGTAAAGCTTAAACCTGCGGGACGGCTCGTCAGGAATGAGGTAAACAGCCCAGCAGCGTGTTTATCAGGAGCTTGTTTGTCAGAATGTTTTTCTTCGTCGTGAACGTCGTCTTCTCACGAACACAAAGCTCTCATTCAGCTGCTCTGTGTTTGTGTTCATAGCTGTTTGTCTGTCAACAGTTCTGACCGTGTTCATGCTGACATCAGCCAGTCACTGTGCTGTTTTCAGTTTAGTATCTGAGTAACGTTATTCAGACCACAACATGATCATCACATCTCATTACGTCTGAAATACAGACTCTAACCCGACCTGTGTTTCTCTCAGCGGAGGATAAAGGAGCTTCAGCGAGACCCAACGCTAAAGACCGAGAAGCTTTTAATGCCAAAAACATCTTACAGGTGAGAAATGTGATCAAAGTGCCAGTGAAGACATTTATAATGTTAGAAAATATTTCTATTTCAAATAAATGCTGTTCTTTTGAGCTTTCTGTTCATCTTGAATCCTGAAAAATAAAATGCATCACAGTTTCCACAAAAATATTGTGCAGCACAACTGTGTTCAACATTGATAATAATCAGAAATGTTTCTCGAGCAGCAGATCAGCATATTATACTGATTTCTGAAGATCATGTGCAACTGAAGACTGCTGAAAACACAGCTTTGATCACAGAAATAAATTACAGTTTAACAGATATTCACATAGAAAACAGCTGTTTTACATTATAATAATATTTCACAATTTTACTGCATTTTATTATCAAATAAATGCAGTCTTTGTGAGCAGAAGAGACTAAAAAACATTGTAACCCCAAAGATTTGAACCATAGTGTAAGTGTATATAAATAAATCCACTTATAGTTCACATACAATATAAAATCTTAGCAATCCAGACATTATACTGATTGCAACATGAGAGGAGACCAGATATAATATATATAATTGCAGTATTTCACAACCCCTTCAGAGTTTGTTACTGTGTATAAATATAGCAGTAATTGCAGTAAACACATCTGCGGTCACAAAAACTGCATAACTATCCTGATAAAACCACATATGGCAGTATTTTCTGTATGTAATATAAACTATATTTAATATTCATGCTACTTATGTAGTACTCCATGCTGTTACCGTAGTACAAAAACACAGTTTTCTATTAAATTCCCAAATTAACCTGTTATTTGCACAGAATATAAACACAAATAACACAAGTGTGGTTTCTGAAGCCCCCTGATGGCAGGCAGCGGAACTGCAAGATATTATGTAAACACTCAACTCTCTCTCTCTCGCACACTCTCTTTCTCACACACACTCTTACACACACACACACACTCTTACACACACACACATACACCTACACACACGTTTGTTTTTGTACACACACAATCACACAAACACTCACATTCACACACACACACACACACACACCCCCTCTCTCTCTCTCGCGCTCTCTCATATGCACACACACTCACACTCGCACTCGCACTCAGACTCTCTCTCTCTCTCTCTCTCTCTCTCATATGCACACACGCACACACACACACACACACGCACACGCACACACAAACACTCACATTCACATACACACACACACACACACACACACTTGTTTTTTTAGCAGGAGCAGCGTGTCCCGTCCAGAAGAGGCTACGCCTGCTTTCTCAGAACTTCTGCTCCTTTATATGGTCAAAATCATTCTGGGAATCAAATGAAAGTTGATGTAAACAACTTAATTCGCTCTTTCTTTGAACATCTGCTCTGTACAAACTGTATGTGCTATTGCCCTACACCAACCCTACCCCTAAACCTACCCCTCACAGGAAACTTTCTGCATTTTTACAATCGAAAAAAAAAAAACTCACTCTGTATGATTTATAAGCTTTTGTACCCATGGGGACCTCAATTCAGGACCCCACGGTGACACAAGTCCCCATGAGTTGGTGTGTTTTCAGGTACACACTCACTCAAACACTAACACACTCACTCAAACACTAACACACTCACAATCACACACACTCACTCACTCAAACACTAACACACACTCACTCACTAACCCACACACACTCACTCAAACACTAACACACACACTCACTCAAACACACACACACACACAATCACACAAACACTCACATTCACACACACACACACACACTTGTTTTTTTAGCAGGAGCAGCGTGTCCCGTCCAGAAGAGGCTACGCCTGCTTTCTCAGAACTTCTGCTCCTTTATATGGTCAAAATCATTCTGGGAATCAAATGAAAGTTGATGTAAACAACTTAATTCGCTCTTTCTTTGAACATCTGCTCTCTGGTTCTGGAGCGTGTGACCGAACACACACTGTGCACATGCGAGGGAGTTTGCTGTTTATGCCGTTAAATCGCTCTGAAGTGTCACCTCTGAATCCTCCCTCAGCTGGTTTCCATAGTAACGGCTGATTCTGTCATGCAAATATTTATGAATTTCACCCTGAATAATAATATGCTTGTAAATGAAGCGTGAAGCCGTGGGCCTAAACTGAGACTCTGTTTCTCCACAGATGTTCGGCGAGGTTTATTTCGGCGCGTTTGAGCTGAATTCGGTGCAGATCTCTCAGAGATTCTCCACTGACAGCACGGGATACTATTCCTCTGCGGGACGCGTCACGTTCTCTTGACGGGACACTAAAACACCGCTCTGGACTTTGCTGATGAATGCATCCAAATTCGCTGTTTTGAAATTGGATTAAGCATTAATAATCTGTCGTGCATTGTAAATATTAATATAAATACCATAAAGAGCATTTTAATGGAACGGCTTGTGTGCAGCATCATGTCATCAATAATTCTCTGCCTTTTTCCCAGAAGTTTTAGTTGCATATATTTGCATAGGAGAGTGCTGACATACAGAAAACCACCAGAGCGATGCAAGCCACACTTTTACTGATGCATTTGTGCAGCATTTATAAACCTAAATGCCATTGTATTCAGAGTAATGCAGTTGATTTCGAAGGTTTAGTTGATGCTGATGGTTAAAAATCTCAATGAAAGCAACTACTGTAAGCTTAAAACCAGTATAATAGTGAGTTTTATCACAGGTACGTGTGTTCTCAAATGCTGTTTACTTTAAAGGGCCCTTTTTTGGGGTCCCTTCTGGAGTTTGAGTGCTGCTGGTCACTCTCTGCTTTCATTATGTGCAGAAAAACACTGAAGAAAGAACGTTTGGTGACCATTTCGGTTTCTTTACATTGTTCCTTTAAAGCCGTGTTTTCACCCTTTTTGACTCCACAACAATATTTGAACTCCCACACGAAGGGATTTTCATTTTAACACTTAAGGATTAAAAGTACTGTTGTCACAATAACAGAAGAGGATGACACGATGTAATGCAAATAACACACTCTTTATTCATAAGCAGTTCCAGACAGCTGAGATGCAAGCGTACTTCGTAGAATAACGTGGAACTTAACTGAATGTTAAGGAGTCCTTGGCCTGGTTTCACAGACAGGGCTTAGACTGAGCCAGGATTAGGCCATAGTTAGTTTTTATAAACATGCTTTAGTAAAAACATTACTGGTGTGCATCCTGAGACAAAACAAGGCCACTGACATATTTTAAGCTCAATCCGTGCAGGTTTCTTTCAGTTGAATCGGTTCAGACTTGCATTTAGGCTGGGACTAGACTTAAACCTGGTCTGTGAAACCAGGGACTTATTTTGGCCAGGGAGGATTATGGGAAATGTGGTGAATGGAGATTGTGACATTTATAATATAAAAAAACAAAACATTTTAATATTTATAAATAACATATAATGTTATCAATAATTTATAATATTAAAAAATTATATTTAAATTTTTAATTTTTTTATTTTTATGGATTTTCTATCCAAAATATACAATGTTTAATTTTCTTCCGTTTTTATAATGATTAAAAAAATTATTTTTATATTATTTAAATATATTAATTATAATAATATAAAAAATATTTTTACTCACGATTCCTATCCAATAAAACATTTTAGAGCTTGGCATTAAAAAAAAAAAAAAAGGTATGTTCACAAATTTTTCATTCATTAAATATGTTTTTAGTTTTTATGACTTTTCCCAGATCTAAACATGTATAAAACGAGGCTTCCAGGTTTTTAATGATGATAGGAATCCTGCTGCTTTTTGAGAGGATGAGTTCAAATAAGCAATATTTGAGTTTTAGTTAATTTAGCTGATTTCAGTGGTTGTTTGGTCATATTTTAAATCATTTTTAGTCGCGCCCCCTGCTTGAGAAGCACCGTTTTAAAGTGTTTTGTGTTGCTGTCAGTCAGCGTCCAGCAGGAGGCGCTATAATGTTAAAATGAGACTTCGCTCTGAGATGCTCTAATGTAGAATATAGACATAAAATCAGCACTCTTCTGTGCTGGTTCGTTCAGAACAAACCTGTGTTGCATGCATCACCGCATATAGGCTATTAGTGTTTGTGAGCTTGCACAGTTCAGACTAATAAATAGGATTTATCAAGGCATTCATTTAATAGAATGCATCCATGTTTGGAACCATGTTTCAGATCTGTGTCTATGAAGCTGACAGTTCAGACTTGGATGTGGATGTACAGTATATAAACACACCTGTGATGCACAATCATAATGTGGCAAGTTGCTTGACAATCCTGAAAGACTTAATGCACAAATGCTTTCAGGGCAAATGAGATCGTGACTTTATTAAAGGCTTGTTCTGAATTATTTGCACTTTGCTTTCATTTGAATATTTATTAAAAATATCTAAATATTTATATTATTAAAAAAAAAATATATATATTTTTTTTAAACTCAAATTCTATCCAATAAAATATTAAAATATTTTAGAACCTGGCATAGAAAAATGTATATTCGTTAAACAGATGCATAGCCTTTTGATTTTATTCATTAGAAAGTTTCGCCCTCCAGGACTAATAGTCTTTTTAACCAATGATTTGGCATGACTTTTCCAGTTGTTCATTATTTACTGGATCGGGATTAAGAATATTTAAAAAAATATATATTTTAATATTTTATTTTTTATATTAAAAAACATGATATTATCAATCATTTATTATATTAAAATCTAATATGTTAATATTTTTTTTAATAAAAAAAATGCTAATTTCTATCCAATAAAATATTTTAGAACTTGGTACTTATAAAAAAGTATATTAATTATACTACAGATGCATAGCGTTTTATGATTTTATAAATTTCTATGATTTTTTTTTTTCAGAGCTAGAAATCTTTTTAACCAATGATTTGGCATGACTTTTCCAGTTGTTCATTATGTACTGGATAAGGATTAAAAATATTGTAAAAAATATTTTAATTTTTAATATTTAAAAAAAAGTGTCATTTTTTTAACATCATTAATTTATATTATTAAAAATAATAAAATAAAATACAAATTCTATCCAATAAAAAATGATTGTATAAAAATAAGTATATTCATTATACAAAAGCCCGTAGATTTTCCAGGTCTAAAAATGTTTAGATTGTGAGAATCCTGGTTGTTTTTGAAGGGATGAATTAAAATCAGAAATATATTTGATCTGTAGTTGTTTTCAGCTGAGTTTAATGCTTGTTTTGTTGTGTTTTAAGTCATTTTAATTCTCCTGAGATATAAAGAAACACTTAGCAGATCTGATTGTTTCTCTGCTGGTTAATTAGTGATGAACTCTTTCTTTCTTCTGCAGTCGTCTGAGGATTAGACTAGAATCTGGGATTAATGGACTCAGATTCGCTGCTAATATGAATGTTTTGAAGGTGAGTTGTCTGTGACTTGCTGCTGATCACAGGCTGGACAGATCTTAATATGCATGTGAGTGAATCTCTCTTTGTGCTGTTTTGCTTTGATTTATTAACCTGCTGAGAAGAACAAAAGTGCCTCAAAGTGAAATTAGAAATGCAAATGTGATATAAAGTTGTTATGCACTTCCGTGTGTTTATTATTGAAATATATATATTTTTATTAATATTTTAAATAAATTTTGATATATGCTAATTTCATTTGATTTAAAAATATATATTTTTTGTCTTTTTTTTTTTTATAAATTTTTTGTTATAAATATGTCTCTATAATTTTTATTTTAGTTTTAGTTATTTTAGTAAGTTAAACTAAATAAGAAATGTTGCCTTGCCTAATTAAATTTTTTGAATATATATAATTTATATTATGTCAGTTAACACTTATTTCAAGTAATAATTTTTTTTATGGTTTATGGTGACATCACGAATCCTGATGAGTTCTGCAGCTGTGTCCTTCCATCACAAATATTATAATTACAGTTCTGAATTATACTCCGCATCTGCGCCAGAATATCTGAACCTCTGGGAATCGGATGCAATAGAATTAAACAGTTTTGCTGTTGTTTGATCAAATAATGCACGGCTTTAAAGACGATGGTGATATTTGTGATCTGCCCACTTGGTTGATAGTAGCATCAATAGTATTAATATCATAGTATTTAATAGTGTATTTTTGTATAAAATGTATATATTTTATACATGTATGTCTTATATATATTATATGTATGTATGTATATATATATATATGTGTGTGTGTGTGTGTAGTGTATATATATATATATATAATAATCATGCTATTTTTTGTGCATTTTTAATCCAGTAAAAGACACTATTTCCTAAATGTCAACATTAATTGATGACAAATCGAATTGATCTGATCAAAACTGACAGTAAAGCCCCGTTCACACAGTAATACCTGTAAATTACCGTAAAATTACCAGAACGACTTTACCAGTGAATACAAAAATGCTCTGTTCACACAGGCAACGGCGTTCCGTATTTTTACCGGTAAAGCACCATTCACACATCAGTTTCAAAATACCGGTAAATTCTTTAACCGGAAATGACCTCTAAATGGCTTGTACTCATGGAGGGGTATCCGCGGTCATTGTTTAGTTTTTTTGTCAAATGTTCGCATTCATGCAGCCGTATTTTTTCAAATATGATCTCTTAACGGTAATTTACCGGTAAAGTCTATATGTGGGAAAGGGGCTATTGATAATGTAACAAATTGCAATTTCATATTGGCTAAATGCTGTTAATTGCTCTTTTTGTTCATCGCAGCGTCCAGAAGACCGGCGTGGTTCGACGAGGGTGCTAAACACCCTCAAACGAAATCAATAGCGCCCTCATTTAATGCTGTAATAATGGCAGATTTGGCAAACAATCCAGTAGTTTATGGTTTGCGCTCTGGAGATCGGTTTCTATTTCAATATCTTTTGCAGCGTTGAGAAATATAGCCAATCACAGACGTATCTGTTGATTTTTTTTAACCCAACAGCCAATCAGAGGCCTTGAAATTAGAATCCACTCACAGCTCAAATCGCCAGAGTTTTTGTTCAGGTGTTGTGTTCCGCACGAATCATCTCATTAAGAGACTGTGCAGCGTTAAGAACATAAACGGGTGGTTCAGTGTTTTTTTTCTAGGCTTGATTGTGTTTATGGGGTGCAGTCTAACATGTGTTAACGCTTCGTTTGTTAAAAAAAGCATTATTTTTCACATAATTGACCTTTATTCCACACCGCTCTGTCCCTTCTCCTCTGAACGCGCTGATCATTTCCTTCTTTTATGAAGCCCCTCCCTCAGAAATAGGCGATGAGCTCTGATTGGTTAGCTGGCCCAGTGTGTTGTGATTGGCTAAACTGCCTCTAGTGTGCGTCTAGACGTCCCGCCCCTCAACATAGCGTGCTCCGGTTGTATTGATAACGTCAATGACAAACAACGGCGTCGTTAATATCGTTATCAGTTTGAGCTCGATTGAGAAGCAGAGGAT